TACGTCATTTTCGATTGAAAGAATAGCGAGGGCTGAAAGCCGATCTTGTGTCATTGAATTCCTCAAATATGTTTTAATAATTTTAAGCCTCGAAAAGCTCCTTTCAGCAGACGCAACTGTAACAGGTGTGGTAGCAATAATTCTCAGGACTATTTCGATAGTGGGGTAAACTTCAGTTAATTTTTTTTCTATTATGTATTTTAGCACCGAGATAATGTCATCGTTTCCTTCATACACACGGATGAACATATTCAGTTCTTCGTACAATTCATGTCCATCAATGTCACATGATTCTCCTACTGTCATAGATATTTGCAAGTCGCTGCATTGCTTTAAAAGTTCACTATCATTAATTTCCTTTAATTTTTTTATATTATACATAAAACCAAATATGCTCTCATGATGTTTAAGAGCCTCAAACCTAGGATAACAGCTTGCGCGCACATTGTCGACAATGACATAAAAATAGTTTATTTTGAAAATTTCTTCCGCTTTCAATTCATGAGCTTCATCTTCCCCTTCATAATCAAAATGCCTTTTTTTACGTCGTCTTCTAACTTCTTTGAACTGTCTGTCAATATCATTTTTCTCGGCTATTTCTCTTGCTGTTACAAGGGATGACTGAAAACCATTTTCTCGATAATTATCGAGCCAATTTGTGAATGCGTCTAGGTGTTGTATAGCCACATCTAAGTGCATGTTTTCGCTTTGCCACATTTTACTTATAACATTTATCTTTGTAAGAATGTCATACCATATGACAAGTGAAACTACAAATTCGTAGGTAGTTAGTTCCTTTTCTATAGAATGGCATTCACTGACCAACTGACAATCTGTTGTGTTTTCTGCTAAATCCTTCAAAGCATCACATATATCACTTAGTTGGTATTTAACGGCCTTCACCGATGCTACCCTGCACTCCCATCTAGTTTCAGAAAGTGGTTTTAGCGACAATGATTTTACATGAGCATTTAAAATAGCCCACCTCTGACTTGAGCCGGCAAACAGAGTGTACAACCTTTGTAGCAAACCAAAAAAAGATTTTGCTTGGACACAAGACGATGCTGCATCTCCTAGGATGAGATTCCAGCTATGACTCCCACAAGGTAAAAAATAAGCAAGCGGATTAATTTCAAGAATACGTTTTTGGACACCACTTTTTTCACCACGCATATTGGCACCATTATCATATCCTTGGCCTCTGCAATTTTGCAATGATATACCTAACTGTTCTAATTCTGTGATTATATAATTAGTCAAACTCTCAGCTGTGGTTTTTTCGACGGCTAAGAAACCAATGAAATGTTCTTCAATTTCAGCTGTATTTGTATTAAAAAATCTTATAATAATTGAAAGTTGCTCAACACGAGAAACGTCGCGAGTACAATCAAGAATAATCGAGTAGTATTTATTATTTACTATTTTTTCAACAATTTGAGTCTTCACGTGACTTGCCATTATTTGTATGAGCTCATTTTGAATACTTTTTCCGATATAGTGGTCATTAATCGTCTTATCCTTTACTTCTTTTAGGTGAAGTCTCAGCACGGGATCAAATCGGGCTATTAACTTTACTAAATCTATAAAGTTGCCACTTGTCTCACTCGAATCTGAGTCAGTTGTTAACTTCTCTCTATGACCCCTGAAGGCCAAATTGTGAGATGCTAAAAAATTTATAATTGCGAGCAATCGTTCTAAAATATCTCTCCAACGTTGCCTTTCTTGTTCAATTTGTGACTGGGCCAAGAAGTTAATAGTGGAACAGCCTTTTAAACCATTCTCTAAATTAATCCATTTCAACATACAATCTTTGTGCTGTCGACTAGATTCGTGAGACTTTAGGTAATCACCCAAGTGTTTCCAATCACACACTCCTTCACTTGATCCAATCTTTGTATTTTCTAACCCGAATATTCGACACGGAAAGCAGTAAACGGCATCCTTTGTTTGTGAATAAATCATCCAGCGCCTGTGAAGCTTTTCACCGTTAACTAATATCTTATTATAATGATATTCGCTGAATCGCCGTCCATTATCATTTACCGGAAATAAATCAACTTTAACCCGGATTGGACCTTTTAATACAATCTCAGTTCGGTCTACATCAGTAATTGTTATGGGCCACAAACCGGGGTCATTTTGAGGATTCAGATTTTCCGTTTCAGCAGTCATGGATGTAGACATAGACTCGGGCTCAGATTCGTGTTCTTGACTGGATAGCGTTGATGGTGGCATCGGTGACCTAAGAGACAATGATGTAGTTAATTCATCATCATCCTCGCTGTTTTTACTTAATGACGGCGGCGGCACCCATGATGATGTGGAAGGAATGTTTTCAGCTGGATCAGGATAAGAGTCACTTTTAGTCAATAAATGTTTTGTAGAGGTTTCTTTATCATCACTTTTTATATATTTATATAAAGATCCACGCAGATTTTCTTCTACCTGCTTTCTTTTGATAGCTCGTTTCCTTTTTGAACTCCCTGACTCAAATTTTCTACCGGCATCACGATCACGCGAACTCATTTCGTAAATCTTTTTTTGTTCCGCTCAAACAGTCAGAAATAAATTTTTAAGTACCACACAGTTTTTTCACACAGTTTTTTTACACTTTTTCAGTTTTCTCAATACTTCAAATACTATAATTTACACTTTTCCAGCTCACTCAATACTTTCAATACTATAAGAACGTAATATCCAATAAAATTGAAAGATATGTACGGTAACGATTTTGTAACTCATACTTTAAGTAAAATAATTCCAAGGTGACAAAAGTTAACAAATGAAATGAAACACGGGGATTTCCTGAGCGATAGAAGAGCAGAACATTATGTCCCGACTCACGAGTGTTATGCGATTAAAAAACCGATCTTCAAGTGTTTCGAGGCGCGATATTCAAGTACTACACTGAGAGATTTTTTTCGATAACCGCAAGCACAAAACGTGACAAGTCCGCGATTCGAAGTTAACAAGTGAAAATGTACGTAGATCGTAGTTAATTTTGGGTTACGATAAGTAAAACTGTACTAAGATTAAGAAAAATATAGAATAAAGTACATCTTATGGTTACAATAACCCAAAGTTTACTTCTGTTTACACACATTTGTACTTATAAACTTCGAATCGCGGCCTTGTCATTTTTTGTACTTACGGTTATCGAAAAAAATCTCTCAGTGCACTGTAAATTTTAGTGTCTTATTTTAAAACATTAAAATCGTTTTAATATGACGTCACCCATTTGATTAACATTGTCTCGATTTTAAAACACTAAAAAACGTTTTAAAATCGAGACAATGTTAATCAAATGGGTGACGTCATATTAAAACGATTTTAATGTTTTAAAATAAGACACTAAAAGGACAATGGCAGGGCCCCATACATAATTTTATTTGAACTGAAATGTTAGCGTTTAAATATCAAAAAATCCTTAACACTTGAGAATTTATTCTTGACCATTCTCATATTAAAATTACTTGCGACAGAAGTCTAGGAAAAAAGATATTGGATTTTGAATGTTTCGAGGTTAAGTACTAACATATTGTTAATGTTTTGTTTGAAACTAGATGGCGTTGTGTGTCAGATAGCCGAAAATATTATTTTCATTATTATTATAGTATATGAAATAAAAAAAATTAAAGCATAACATCTATTCGAGTTTAACACTAAATTAAACAAAAATAAAATAACAAACGTGTGAGTCCGGAACTTGACAGGATCTAAACCACAGATTAAGAGATATGTACTAAACGACGACGTATCGACAATTTGAAAATATCGATGTATGTCTATTTATGTGCCGTTATCAATGACAATGTATTTTTCTCATCACACTGTGTAGTGGAAAATAACGTAACTATATTCTATTTCTTTAGTGTGTTTAAAATAGTTTAAAGAGAGTCAAAAATATTTTAAATCATTTCTAATTATGTTGATTCAGTCACTCTACCGTACGAGTGAAGACGTGGGCAGAAGCAAATTCATAATCATAATAGTGAACCTTCGGTAAATATTTCAGCCAAAGCTATAAGAATCGATTATCGATAAATTGTTCCATAATATAATATTGCCACCACGCATCCCTAGTCAGTTATACGTGATGGCGAATCTGACATTACGTACTTAGGTCAAATAAAATCTTCAAAAATATCTTATCTCTTATAAGACTTATACAACACATGGTGGTGTAATGATAAATTATAGAAAATTTTTTGATTAAGTTTACTGTGACTCGATTTTTTAAACGCTTAAGTTTTAGGTAAATATGTTTCTGCCATTGTTCTTTACAGTGTGTACATAATGAATTTTTCAATTATGTTTTGAATGAATGAATTAGTTAACTAACTTAATTTTAATTTACGGTTATGTTATAACCTTAATAAGTAATTAAGGATCAAAATCAAAAGTTTTAAATAAAAAAAAATAGTTAAAAAATTTTATATTTTTTAAAATTTGCTTGGGTTGTTGCGCGAGGCCCCTGTAGGAGCGAGGCCCCGGGCGATTGCCCTGTTCGCCACCCCCTAAGGCCGCCACTGTAAAGATTAACTACCTCAGTACCTATTATATGAGATCTGTTTTAAAAGCCATACATATTTGACAAATATTTATCCATTTCTGAAATTCTATAAAACCCTCTCTTGTTTAAACATATAGGTTCCCTTATCACTTCCATTATTTCCTTGGGCTTATAGAAAATTTTATCGGGCGGGTTAGGCCATTTAAAAGAATTTCCAGTAGTCAATGTCATTGTACTTATTTCGTACTCGTTCTTTCTCAAGCTTTCTATCTTACCAGGAAAACACTCCCCTTCATACTTAATTATTACGAAATTTCCTATCGAAAACTTCCTGTTTTTATTTGGTTTAGTTGCTTTTGAAGATGCAATTTTACTTAAGGGCAAATTATCTAAATCCGAGTCTATAGAATCACAGTCTATTTCATTCTTTGTTTTTGTTATTTTTTCTCTTTCTGGTTCTTTCTCTTCGTCATCTTCTAAATTATAACTAACTAACTTCTGTAGGCACAGAGTCACCGGCATCTGATGGTATAACCATTGCTTCATCGGTTACAACAACATCGTTCGTTTGAGCAGTGGTTACATCATTTGACGGATACCTCGCCTGTTCCAATGTGTCTGACGTTGTTAAAGCATCCGCCGAACTTATATCGCACAACGCGTCTTCAGATTTGTTTTTGGCCCAAATTAAATATAAAGCCTCGTCTTCATCAGGGATTTCTCTTTCCAGTGTCTTTCTATTTTCAAAGTATAATTAATTGAATTGCTGTAACTTTTGAGCTGAGAACACGTTTACGTTTTCACGTTCTAAGTACTTAATAAAGTCTTTCCGCATTGGATTGGTTTTAGTTGTGGTTTCTATTTCGGTTTTAGATGTTTTAGACATATCGATGTAATCAGGGCCAAATGGAAAAAGGCCCTCCGCTCGGAATCCGTTTTGAACACAATCTTTAGTTACATTTGTGAGAGCTTTTTGCAACACTGGGGTAAAGTTCTCTTTGCGAAGAATTTTACCAAGGTTCTCAATTTTCCATTGCGTCACGGCTTTTTTCCAATGAGCTTTAAGTGGTCTAAATACTGACAAGTCCATCGGTTGTCGAATATGCGTAGAATTTGGGTACAAAGCAACTACTACAATACCATTTTCGGAACAAAAATTTGACAAATGAAGCGTCAGGTGTGATTTGTGGCCATCCACAAAGAACAAGACCGGTTTCAATATTATTTTGCTCTAACCAAGGATTGAAGACATTAGTCATTAATTACTCATAGAACGTGCTGCTACACATCCACCCACTCTCCGATTTACCTATAGCCCATTCATCGGGAACACTGTTAGAACAGTTTGGCGAATCGAGAAAATGTAAACAAATGTAAATCTTAGTGTGAATAAAGTTTTTGAAAAAAAAAAAAAAACAGCGATAGTTGAAGAAATTCGATCATAATTAAATATGATCATTGGAGGGGCAAGGTCTCCAGCTGCATTTCCAGTTATTAGGACAGTAAAATTGTCCTTTTCATCACCGCAGCTGCTGTATGGGTGTTTATCTCCTTTTTTGGCGAGTACACGACCAGGTTTAGGTGACAAAAAGAACGCGGTCTCGTCTGCGTTGAATATTCTGTGTGGGTCGTTTAAAATAGTTTTAAAGTTATTTTCATCCAAATAACTTTCGACAAGTAAACCAAGTCCTGATGTTATTTATAGACACATTATCTGGAGCTCTTGACAAGTTGTCTGGCACTCTTTGTGTCAAGTTTGGATGTCTCTTCATGAACGACTGAAACCACTCCTTGCTGGGCCTATTGTTTGTAAAAGAATTTGGTCTGTTTTGATCAATTATTATTTTTTGCACACTGTCTAGTAGCGAATCTTTTGTCAGTGGAATATGTCTTTCAGATAACGCTAATATCATCCACTTTTCCAAAATGTCTTCTTCTCCTTTAGTTAAAACTGTGCTCGGCCCCATAAGGCAACCCATAGTTGTTATTCCCGAAATTTTATCATGGAGTGTAATCCTAGGTACTCCGAAATGTTTCGCAGCAACTACAATCTTTTCGCCATTTTTTATAGCTTCTACAGCTTTTTCGAACTGGTCGGGCGTAATTTTTTTTCTCGGAGCCATCTGTAAGAACCAATCATCGACATCGATCGACATTCCCCAATAATCGTCCCTTGTCGATTACTGGTAGCTCAACTTTGATTAGTTTACTTCAAATATCTACTTGGCACATTATAAAATCATATGAATATAAACATTTTTGAAGTAGCAAAATTTTCAGCATGAGCTAGTCTTGACTGATTTGACATAATTCTTTTTTGCATATTGTTTGCATCTGAATAATACTCCATCAGCTTTTTATATAGATGTTTGCACTTTGGTGTGAGTTGTTTTTTTCTTGTCAAGCCAATTGTGCCAAGGATGTGGATATATGGGCGAGAGTGTTCTGTAACAACAAGGAAAAAATCAATGTTACAGTATTTTAGGGTTCCGTACCTCAAAAGGTAAAAAAGGAACTCTTATAAGATCACTTTCTTGTCCGTCTGTCCGTGTGTCACAGGAATGGGTAGACTTAGCAAGTTGAAATTTATACCAGATACTGAAGTCTATGGTATATTCTCTATTATAGATAGTCCCTATTAGGTGTATAAAAATCAAGGTTCTGAATCAACACGATAAAAAGATATGGGCAAATTTAGATTTTCGTGAAAACTTGTAAGTACCAAAATTTTCCTTAATTTTCAACTTTTTTTACTTTTTGGAATTTTTCCTCTACTTGTGCTGTAAGAATTTGCTTTTAACCAAATTTGACAATTCTAGGTCAACCGGAAGTACCCTATAGGTTTTGGGTCACAAAACCTATAATATTTTCATAAGTTGTTTCCTTTATAGTTCCTTATGAACGCGCTGTGAGTTTGACAGTTGACAGCTGTCACTTGTGATTTTTTTGTATTAAGTACTGTAGTATTAAGTACTGTATTTAGTTACTATATTGGTATAGTAATACCGTTATCATACCAATGCAATACTTAGCTATAGCTATAGGTGGTAAATTAGTGAAATAAAAAATTGTTTTGATCAACTTTAAGTTTATTAGCTATTGGGTTGAATTATGTTCTTCTAAATATTACAGACTTCGTCAGCGAGGGGAGGTTATGTATAATATTTTCATAAGTTGTTTCATTTATAGTTCCTTATGAACGCGCTGTCAGTTTGACAGCTGTCACTTGTGATTTTTTTGTCTCTGAATCAGAAGTGTGCCACCTAGGGGTGTCCACTTAAAAAATATATCGATATTTATATTCGATGTAAAATATTGGATCCCAGCATCGATGTTTATCGATATATCGCTAGAAAACATCGATATTTTTTCACTATCGAATACTTTCCACAAAAATTTAATATTACCTTTTTCCAGTGAAACGCACAAAGTTTGTGGTCCTTGATTTTGTAAGTATGAATGTAGAATTAGAGACCAGAGTAACATAGCTAAACTAGTAGTGTAATAATAGTGATTTTCTATGAGTGTTACTTGAATAGAATTGTACTACTAAGATAGTGGTGAGATGACTGAAATAAGTTATACCTACATTTGTAAGTGAAATAAAAACGACAAATTAATAGAAATATTTTATTACATACCACAAAACTTGAAAACAGTAAAAGAAAAAAAATACATATTTAGTACTAGCCTTAATCTAGGTACCTGCAAAAACTTACTTTCACTTTACCTATTTAAGACCAATGCCCTTTTGACAAACTTTGCAAAAATAAAAGTTTACTTAATCTTTTACCTTTCATTCTATGACTTTGTTGATTGACTATTTGAGCAGCCTTTGAAAATAAACGTTCGGATGGAACAGAAGTTCCGACAATAGTTAAGTATTTGAAGGCAATCTTATAAAGCTTAGGAAATTGAATTTTTAGATCTTGCCAAATCTCTAAAGGATTCTCATTGAGTCTTCCTAATACTGGACTACGCAAGTAGATCGATAATTCATCAGAAATTGCATCATCTGATTGTGATGATTTCCAATTCTTGCTTACTAGTTTGTGATGATGATCCCATAAGGAAAAACTCTCTTCTTGTTTTTTCAGATTGATCAGAATCAGATTCGGACATTTCGACATTTTGTGTAGTATTTTTCATCAAGTCTTTAATTTTTGCGACTGCTGTAGAGCAAGCAAGTGCGTCTCTGAAGTGAATTTTTTTATACCTGGGATCCAATACAGTTGCTATGGCGAGTGGAGTTACTCTTTCGATAGCGCCCATTCTTTTTTCAATTTCATTAAGCACAAACGATTTCAATTCATTGTATGTATCAATATTATAGGTTTTGTGACCCAAAACCTATAGGGTACCCTATAGGTTTTGGGTCACAAAACCTATAATATTTTCATAAGTTGTTTCCTTTATAGTTCCTTATGAACGCGCTGTGAGTTTGACAGTTGACAGCTGTCACTTGTGATTTTTTTGTATTAAGTACTGTAGTATTAAGTACTGTATTTAGTTACTATATTGGTATAGTAATACCGTTATCATACCAATGCAATACTTAGCTATAGCTATAGGTGGTAAATTAGTGAAATAAAAAATTGTTTTGATCAACTTTAAGTTTATTAGCTATTGGGTTGAATTATGTTCTTCTAAATATTACAGACTTCGTCAGCGAGGGGAGGTTATGTATAATATTTTCATAAGTTGTTTCATTTATAGTTCCTTATGAACGCGCTGTCAGTTTGACAGCTGTCACTTGTGATTTTTTTTGTCTCTGAATCAGAAGTGTGCCACCTAGGGGTGTCCACTTAAAAAATATATCGATATTTATATTCGATGTAAAATATTGGATCCCAGCATCGATGTTTATCGATATATCGCTAGAAAACATCGATATTTTTTCACTATCGAATACTTTCCACAAAAATTTAATATTACCTTTTTCCAGTGAAACGCACAAAGTTTGTGGTCCTTGATTTTGTAAGTATGAATGTAGAATTAGAGACCAGAGTAACATAGCTAAACTAGTAGTGTAATAATAGTGATTTTCTATGAGTGTTACTTGAATAGAATTGTACTACTAAGATAGTGGTGAGATGACTGAAATAAGTTATACCTACATTTGTAAGTGAAATAAAAACGACAAATTAATAGAAATATTTTATTACATACCACAAAACTTGAAAACAGTAAAAGAAAAAAAATACATATTTAGTACTAGCCTTAATCTAGGTACCTGCAAAAACTTACTTTCACTTTACCTATTTAAGACCAATGCCCTTTAGACAAACTTTGCAAAAATAAAAGTTTACTTAATCTTTTACCTTTCATTCTATGACTTTGTTGATTGACTATTTGAGCAGCCTTTGAAAATAAACGTTCGGATGGAACAGAAGTTCCGACAATAGTTAAGTATTTGAAGGCAATCTTATAAAGCTTAGGAAATTGAATTTTTAGATCTTGCCAAATCTCTAAAGGATTCTCATTGAGTCTTCCTGATACTGGACTACGCAAGTAGATCGATAATTCATCAGAAATTGCATCATCTGATTGTGATGATTTCCAATTCTTGCTTACTAGTTTGTGATGATGATCCCATAAGGAAAAACTCTCTTCTTGTTTTTCAGATTGATCAGAATCAGATTCGGACATTTCGACATTTTGTGTAGTATTTTTCATCAAGTCTTTAATTTTTGCGACTGCTGTAGAGCAAGCAAGTGCGTCTCTGAAGTGAATTTTTTTATACCTGGGATCCAATACAGTTGCTATGGCGAGTGGAGTTACTCTTTCGATAGCGCCCATTCTTTTTTCAATTTCATTAAGCACAAACGATTTCAATTCATTGTATGTATCAATATTATAGGTTTTGTGACCCAAAACCTATAGGGTACCCTATAGGTTTTGGGTCACAAAACCTATAATATTTTCATAAGTTGTTTCCTTTATAGTTTCTTATGAACGCGCTGTGAGTTTGACAGTTGACAGCTGTCACTTGTGATTTTTTTGTATTAAGTACTGTAGTATTAAGTACTGTATTTAGTTACTATATTGGTATAGTAATACCGTTATCATACCAATGCAATACTTAGCTATAGCTATAGGTGGTAAATTAGTGAAATAAAAAATTGTTTTGATCAACTTTAAGTTTATTAGCTATTGGGTTGAATTATGTTCTTCTAAATATTACAGACTTCGTCAGCAAGGGGAGGTTATGTATAATATTTTCATAAGTTGTTTCATTTATAGTTCCTTATGAACGCGCTGTCAGTTTGACAGCTGTCACTTGTGATTTTTTTGTCTCTGAATCAGAAGTGTGCCACCTAGGGGTGTCCACTTAAAAAATATATCGATATTTATATTCGATGTAAAATATTGGATCCCAGCATCGATGTTTATCGATATATCGCTAGAAAACATCGATATTTTTTCACTATCGAATACTTTCCACAAAAATTTAATATTACCTTTTTCCAGTGAAACGCACAAAGTTTGTGGTCCTTGATTTTGTAAGTATGAATGTAGAATTAGAGACCAGAGTAACATAGCTAAACTAGTAGTGTAATAATAGTGATTTTCTATGAGTGTTACTTGAATAGAATTGTACTACTAAGATAGTGGTGAGATGACTGAAATAAGTTATACCTACATTTGTAAGTGAAATAAAAACGACAAATTAATAGAAATATTTTATTACATACCACAAAACTTGAAAACAGTAAAAGAAAAAAAATACATATTTAGTACTAGCCTTAATCTAGGTACCTGCAAAAACTTACTTTCACTTTACCTATTTAAGACCAATGCCCTTTAGACAAACTTTGCAAAAATAAAAGTTTACTTAATCTTTTACCTTTCATTCTATGACTTTGTTGATTGACTATTTGAGCAGCCTTTGAAAATAAACGTTCGGATGGAACAGAAGTTCCGACAATAGTTAAGTATTTGAAGGCAATCTTATAAAGCTTAGGAAATTGAATTTTTAGATCTTGCCAAATCTCTAAAGGATTCTCATTGAGTCTTCCTGATACTGGACTACGCAAGTAGATCGATAATTCATCAGAAATTGCATCATCTGATTGTGATGATTTCCAATTCTTGCTTACTAGTTTGTGATGATGATCCCATAAGGAAAAACTCTCTTCTTGTTTTTCAGATTGATCAGAATCAGATTCGGACATTTTGACATTTTGTGTAGTATTTTTCATCAAGTCTTTAATTTTTGCGACTGCTGTAGAGCAAGCAAGTGCGTCTCTGAAGTGAATTTTTTTATACCTGGGATCCAATACAGTTGCTATGGCGAGTGGAGTTACTCTTTCGATAGCGCCCATTCTTTTTCCAATTTCATTAAGCACAAACGATTTCAATTCATTGGCAAGTGAGTCTTCCAATTGGAGAGGTTGGATTTTTAAAACTAAGCAATGAACTAACGGAATCACCTTGCTGCTTGTGCAGTATCTGTCTCCAGAAATTTCTTTAGTAGCAGCTTCGAGCGGTCTTAAGACTAGTAACACAGAAGAAAGAACTGACAGTTCTGATGCATTGAGCATAGGTGGCGCTGTTCTATGACGAAATATTATATCATTGATTACAATGCGTAACTCTAAAAATCTCTCAATCATACAATACTTATTGTATGATTGAGAGATTTTTAGAGTTACTGCTGTTCCATCTTGTTGAAACTTCTTGAATTAACTTTGTTTCTTTTTCTGTGGCTTTTCTTAATTCATTGCTTGCTGTATTACTTTGTTTGAACCATGTTACAATGGTCTTGACCTTAGTTATTAGATTTTGTAATTCTGGACAGTGTTGTATCGCATTTAACGCAACTAAATTTAAAGTGTGCGCAAAACACGGTATGTGTTTTTTACCTAAGGCCAGATCGACCGCCTTAATCATAGATGCTGCGTTATCCGTTACTACAGCCGAAACTTTATCAACGTCAATGTCCCATTCAGAACAAGACTTCAGAAGCATCTCAGCAATATGATTCGAAGTGTTACGGTCAAATGACTGATATACTCCAAGAGTAATAGAAAAAAATTCGGTACATATACCAAAGTGACCTGTAATTCCAAGAAAGCTTCTCATACTCATTGTTTCTGTCCACATATCGGTTGTAAGTGTTATATTTTCTAAACATTTTAATTTATTTTTAAACACAGCTGATAATGCATCATATTTGTCATCAACCCAGCAAGTCAATGTTGTCTTACTTGGAAGCTTGTAATGCGGTGCAGTTATTTTCATAATATTACGAAATCCGTCATTTTCTACAATCGTGAAAGGTTGATTATCTTTGCAAATCATGTAGATGAGGGCATTATTGACTTGCAAAGTTTTATTGCCGCTTTCCGAATAAGCAGATATATTTTTGAAACTTTCATCAATCGACTTTTGCCGTTTTAATGGCGGAGGTACAGGATTATCGACATGGATATATTTTGACACAGCTGTACTTATTGATGGCAGTGGTTCAGGGCTGGGAACAGCAGGTTCAGAGTCTGCTTCATTTGTTTTTGTAATTGTTTCACTGTGGATATTTAGTAAGTTGACATTGCTCAACACTTGTGAATATTCTTTATTCATATCCAAAAAGGTAGCCTTGTGGATATTTTTTACGTGACTAAGCAAGTTTGATGTGTTGCCACAAGATTTAATAGTTTTTGGCAAATTTTGCATTTTACAAGGTTTTCATTTCCCTCAATTTTCGTAAAAAACTTCCATACATGACTTTTCTTTGGAGGCGCCATCTTGTAATTAACTAAAAAAAGAACAAATCAATTAATGTTTATTTTTTTCCATTATTTTATTTTGTGTCTGATGTAGTGTCATATCACTATTGAGTTAATTTGTTTACAAGTTTAAAAACTAAATGAAAATTACACTAAAGAAATGATTTGATGCAATACACGTAAGTAGTGCTTTATAACATATCGAATAACTACTTACTTCATTATAATGATATAGCATTTATAAGAATAAAATAGGAAATATATTTATTATTATGAAATGTATTATAATATAAAAGATCATTATATTATATCTTCAATATAAAACACTGTCACAAACGAGTAGAGGTTAGGTTCATAAACATAATAGAAATATAATATTTATACCTTTTCAACTTCGAACTAGCAATCAAACGATAGGTCAAATCAGTTATTTTAGAGTAATAAATTGTAGTAGCAAGTAAAATTCTTACATAAATTTGTCTTAGATAAACAATTAAAACAATGATTTATTTGCGTTACCGCCAAACAGAAGAAGACGACGCAAGAAGAGTGAAGTGAGTGTAAGTAAATATAATGAACCTATAGAATCCACAGACTATACATACATTGAGAGTGAATAGTCGATCGATCTGTCAGGATAGATTAGATAATTAAGATGGTCACTCACAGATGTCACTATCTTAATGAACCTTATTTAAAATTGAAGGCATCAAGTAGTGTTAAAATTATTTAGTTCGTTAATAGATTCGACAAGAAAATAAAAAAAGCAAATATTCGATGTTTCTATAAATAAATATATCGATATATCGAATACAATTAATGTTAGTCAAAACATCGAATCAATCCGATATATCGTACGGAATACATCGAATAAATTCGATGTATCGATGTTAAGTGAATATCCCTACTCTGAATCGGAAGTGTGTCACCATTGATTGTTGATTGCTGTAAGATCGTTGATTGTAAATGTGTCCAAAAGGAATTAATATAGTAAGAAAATATAAGAAACTCTTCATTAAAATCTCCTGAAATTTATTAAAAATATTTTGGTGCCGAAACCCGGGATTCCAACCGATGCCAACTGCAGTCACATTACATGGAATAAGTGGCAAGTGCAAGCGACTAGCAAGGTTGTTAGTTATAAAGTTTATTTCACTGGCACTGTCCAATAAAGCTTTTGCTGCATGCCAGTTACCTTGATAGTCCTTTATTTTTAGTTGAACTGTTGAAAGGAGTACATGTTTTGTGTTGTCAATTGTTAAGTTCACTGCTTTATTTGTTGTTGTGTGAGTACACAGCTGTTGTGTGCTGGAAGGAAGTGAGGATTCATTATCATTGTTTGATTGGTTACAATCAGTGTTAAATTGACAAGCTTGTTGACTAGTCAAAGGTTGTGTCTGTTGACAGACAACCAAATTACCTTTATTTGTTGTTGAGTGTGCTGTCTGATGATTTGTGGAAAAACCTTGATGCTGTGATTCAACACTCTGTTGATTGTTGACACAAGCAAGACTATTTGTTGTGGTAGATGTCTGTTGACCACTTTGTGATGTTTGATGGGGGCTACTATTGTAGTTTAACCCATCTGTATTTATAGAATGTTTAGTGTAGTCAATGTGTAGAACACTGTTGTGTTTTTTATGGCACTTGGAACATACTTGTGAACAATGATGTCCAGGTTTAAAAATAGATAAACAATTATAGCAGAGCTTTCTGCTTTTTACAAATGTAATTCTCTGTGGGACAGGAAGTTGCAAAAATAAAGGGCATTTTGTTAGTTCAAGTTTAGAGTCACATAAGACAGCTAGATTTGTTAAAAGTGAAAGTAGTAGCACGAGTAGCCCTTGTACTTGTATTTGTTGTGTTGTATTGTAACATTAAAAAATAAAAAAAATAAAAATATGCTAATTTAATGCTATGTTGCATATAAATGAATAAACTAACTGGTGCGGCACCACAAATTCTAACAAAACTAATAATCTCGGGCGCCAGCTTACATGAACATAGACAACTAATAACAAATATAATGAATACCTCGAACAGCTCGGTCAGCGCTTAGACCTTTAATCTAGGGTGGTGGGGCATCTATTAAATAAAGAGATGTTATAAGATGAGTACATGGAATATTATAGGTTTAATTACAAATGTAATTCTTATTCTCAAATTAGTACTGTCATTAATGCAATCTCTTTACCTTGATAATACAAATTAAAAGTAAAATATCTTTAAAAGTCATATAAAGACTGTTCAATACATAAAGAAACTAAAGGTAGTTATCATAACGCCCCTTAGAGCCTACAGTTTCCGTTATGACAAGGCCAGTGAAAATTTATAAACAACAAAAGAACATACTAATAACTCCGGCACAGTTTGTTTGGAACTATGGCAAAACTAACTCTTTAAAATGCTCACTCTTGTTCCTCACCCCGTGGCCGGCGAGAAAAAAATGTGTCAAAACTGTTGTTGTAGTCGGTTTTGGCACCAAAATAATAATATGTTTAATAAATTGCAGGAGATTTTAATAAAGAGTTTCTTATATTTTCTTACTATTTTAATTCCTTTTGGACACATTTAGATCAGCTGGGTTGTCACTAAAGACAACCCAGCTGATCTTCTGACATGTGGTATAAAACCTCAAGATTGAATGAAAAGCACACTCTGGGGGCATGGACCAAAATGGTTGTTGTTGCCTAGGGCTCAATGGCTCCAAACTAAATTTTTGGCCCCGGAGACTGACATCTTACATTCAGAAATTACTATTGAGAAATCAGTCAACACAGTTACTGAAAAAGGTAAAATTTACAGTAATTATATGTGTGATGATGTTTTTCCTAGATTTTCAAGCTTTACCAAATTGCAAAGAACTGCCTTTTGTTACAGAATATTTCACAACTTTAAAAACAAAAATGACCAAAGAACAGGTCCATTGTTAATTAATGAACTGCAAAAGAGCCATAATTTCATTATCAGGACCGTTCAAAGTGATAAGTTTTCTAAAGAGGTCAGTGAACTGAAGTCTGTGGACAGTACAACTTTTTTTTTTTAAGAGCCTTTTATTTCTTGCCAGTAAAATGAAGTATGTAAATAAGATTATAAAAGATTACATTATTAGATTTTATTATTACATTATAAATTATTAGACTAATTCGAATTTTATTAAATTAAATCATATAAAATCTACATTTTTTAATAAATTAAATACGAAATCGAATAATTTGTGAGCAAGAACCCCTTTCAGGTGAAGGCCTCCTCCAGAGATTGCCAAATGTCCCTGTTGCTAGCTACTGAAACCCAGTTTCGTCCAGCAACATGTTATTATGTGAATCAGTGTCTCTGGATGGTTTTGGTCGCGACCAGCTGTATTGAAGATGTCTGTAGAGGGGCTCGTGCTAGTTGCTATATGTTAGATGTCTCCTTCGAGTTGTTGCTTTCTGAAATTTCTTTTATATTCAAGGGCACAGTTTGTTTTTCTTGTGGGGCGGGAGCATCTTTTTTTGATCTAAAATAGGTGCTAATGTCTCTCTTGTTTTTCTTGTGGGAGTGTATGTTTGCATTGTTCTTGGTTTGGTTGTTTTCATTTGGCGATAGGGCTAAAGTTTGTTTATGATTTCGATTCAGATGCCCGTTGTTTTCTTCTTTGATAATACGAGTTTACGAGTCTAATAATCCGAATGATAAATACAATATTTTTTTTGACCTCTTTAAGCTACTATATGAACTTTGTTTTCCTGTAACAAGATGTAAAATTTCCACAGTGAGTAATCAAAAATGGATAACACGCGGCATAAAACGCTGTAGCAGGAAAAGACGAGCTTTGCTTTGGAAATACAGACTAACTCCTAATATTGACACAAAAACAGCCTTTGAAACGTTTAGCAAGCGATAACAACGTGTTGTTAAGCTAACAAAAAAGGCTCAGAACAGTTACTATATCGAAACAAGTAGTAACAAATCTAAGGCAACCTGGAAGGTTGTCAACAGTATAAGGAAGGACACTCCAAAAACGAATATTAGTTTGATTCGCGTAAACAATGAGAATATAACAAACCCTAAAACTATAGCACAGCATTTTAACGACTTTTTCGTGAACTTAGTTCAGCCGAATGCCTGTTGTGAGACATATAGTGTGACTAATAATTTGCGCTCTTATAACTCCATGTTTATTCAACCAACAGTACCAAAAGAAATAGTTTGCATAATAAATAATTTAAAGAACACTAACAGCACTGGCTATGATGAAATAAATACTCGTGTAATAAAATCAGTAGGCTCTATCATAGCTCCTGTATTATGTGATATCATAAACAGCTCGATAATAAATGGCATATTTCCAACAAAATTAAAAGTCTCCATTGTTAAGCCAGTGCACAAGAAGGAGGATAAGACCAATATTTGCAATTATAGGCCTGTGGCATTGATACCAGTGTTCTCAAAAATCTTTGAAAGGGTTATTTATAATTCTTTAAATAATTACCTTGAAAAAAATAACATCTTCTGCGGGGAACAGATGGGTTTTAGAAAGGGCAAAACCATTGATTTGGCCATATATCAATTTCTTGAAAAAATACACTATAACTTAGATAAAAGAAAACCGGTAGCTGCAATGTATATGGATATGTCAAGGGCTTTTGATTATGTAGATCACAAAGTATTATTAGCAAAACTCTACAGCTATGGTATAAGAGGTAATGTGCTCGACCTTATACAGTCCTATTTAGCAGATAGAGAACAATTCACTCAAATTAGCCAAGTCAATGTTAAATCTAAAACTGAAAAAATATACTCATCTGGCACTAGTGCAGTTACGTATGGTGTTCCGCAAGGATCTGTTTTGGGACCACTGCTCTTCATATGCTATATTAATGATTTGCCTAGTGCAACAACAAACCAGATGTCCTTATTTGCTGACGATAGCACAGTTATATATAGCAATGACAGTTATACAGA